AATTTTTTTGTATTCAGTTTTTTTTTTTTCGTTTAAATTTTTCTGGATGATTATAATAAATTTTAACAAAAAAACATGTGTAATTAATTAAAATCATGAAACTTGTATAATTTAGCAGAAATTTAGGCCTATTAAAAGTTTAACAAAAATTACATTCTTAGGGCCCAAATTCTGCGATTTCCATTTCCATTTTTCTGTATTCCATTTTAATGGTTTAATCAAAAACATATCTAATTAATTGAATTCATGAAAACAACTTAATTTATTAATTTGTATACAATAATAGGGCCCTATGAAATTTAAATTTTATTTACTTTTTAGAAATTAGTGTTGTGTATTTTAATTTTTCTGGTAATCAAATGAAGGTAATTTTTCTGGTAATCAATGAAAATTAAACAAACCCTTTAATTTTTGTACATTCAAAATGCTACACAACAGAAGTTTACTGTGTAACGAGCAATGTCACGGAATTCATCAAATATTGAATGAATAAATCAAATGCAATTCAGTGCACTTCAATCAAAACCGCGATATGGACTAGTGTATGTGAATATTAAATGGAAAAAAAATATTTTTCTATTTAGCTACTACAGACGACAACCGCGAGCGTTGCACGTGCTTAAATAGCAAACGAAACTCGCGTCTGCGCCGTTCATTCCGTCACATTCCACGTTACACAGTAAAATTCGTTTTTATGAATAGATTCCGGGATTCCGTCCCCATTTTCTACATCGCCCTACTCTTTTGAAGAAGCACGTTGAACGCGGACGCACAGACAGTTGTCGTGGTAATGTACACCAGAGCAACCACTTGCACGTCCGCATTGAACACGCATCTCGCATATAAAAAGCATTTTAGGGGGCCCTTGGCTTTTGGGGGCCCAAGGCGGTCGCCTACCTTTGCCTAATGGTTAAGTCCGCCTCTGGGTGCATCTGAGGTCCCCTGAACACTGTAGTATTGGTCGTCTCTGACATCTCTCTGGACTGAGATATCTGGTGAAACACAAAGCAGTGCTTTCCTCCTGTAACCCTCTTGACAGCTTCCTTTTACTGCTTTCTTCCACCAGTGTTCTTTGTTTTTGCCCACAATAGCACCAAACTGACACTACACTAGTGCCGGGTTCCTGCCAGACCCGAAGGCAGAGATGTGTCCTTTCTGAAGAGAATAAAACCGTTTTAACAGTTCTTTCTTTTGGGCAGCTTAGTTAAGGTGAAATAAAGATCACTGGAACATATCTTCCTTTATTGTGTTTCATTATTTATTGCATACACAACTTGTGAGTTTGTGAAATAGTGAGGGGGTTTTATTGGAGTTGTAATGTGAGCAGTGAGCTCACTGTCCTGCTCCACTTTGCTCCCATAAAACCTTGCACCGACTGCAGAGTGTGAGGTCACGTGTCCTGAGGCAGGCGTCTCCGCCTACTCGTCAAGGGGAATGATTACGATGCTTAACAATATGCAGATGAGGGCTCAGGGCAGTGTAAATCAGCTTTAACGGCAGCAGGGTGTTGGAATAGTTTTACAGTCCTGCGTAACTCCATTTAGTCGAGCTGTGAATATTAACAGTGGATTATCGGAATGGAAAGACGCTTCAATTGTGTCAAAAATAGACATTACTGGGGGGAAAAAATCTGTATTAGCCCCATATTTGTAGTAGCTACAGTATTCTAGCTTCAAACATTGCCGTTTGTGACTGCCAACTCCAAATTAGCAACAATTTGTGGGAAGTTCTTTTCATGGTTGAGCCACGCTGTATAAAAACATTTGGTTTTGCGGACATGATCCAGGATTTATTTTGGCCGGAGAATTGTTATTGTTTTGCAGCTGGCATCATTATTATACGGTGAAGAGTGAAAGCTTGGTATTTTCAGGAATCTGTTTTAGGTGGCTGGTTGTTAGAGAGGATGTCGTCTCTGGAGGAGGCAGGAGGCGCTGAGGCGTTGTGCAGGTATTCTGCAGGAGCCGTCCTCTCTGATGTGGAGCTCTGTACCCGCCTCTGTCTCTGCCAGCACATCCAATTCATTATATGCAGTCTTGCTTTGCTGAGAGACAGTCTCAAGGGACTCAACTTTTTTTAGCGAAACAAAGCCGTATGCAGTTTCTTTGGAAATTAAAAGAAAGAGAATGCTAGGAAGAGTTTTGTGTGTGTGTGTGTGTGTGTCTGCTTCCAATTCTTCTTTTCTTTTTTAGACAAGAGAAACAAACTAAATGTATGTTGGTGCTTTTAAATCCTTTGTATATTTGCGATTTTTTAAGGGTTTTATGCAACAAGCAGTATTTACTTTACACTGTAAATATAGTCACACAGATTTTCAATAATAGTAATTATATATAATAAATATTATAAAAATAAATACTAAATACTAAATAAAAATAAATACTATTAAATACTATAAATATATACAAAAAGTTTATTATTATTTTTTTAAAGAAATTTTTTATTATTAGTAGTAAAAAAAATGTTTAATTGTATTTATAATAAAAACAATACATATTATTATTTATTTTATAAATAACTGTAGTTTTTAGTAGTAAATATTTTTTAATGCTACCAAAAAAAGAGAGTGTTTTTGAGTGTTTTTAATTTTTCTGCATATTAAGCTGTGGGGCAGTAAGTATTTTGATTTTTTTTTTTTCTTTTTTGTATCAGTGCTTTGAAATTCGTTATATGTGCACATACTATAATATAATTTTTTTATTATATTATAATACAAATTATTATTATTATTTATCTATTCTTTTTATAAATAACTATTAATTTAGTAGTATTTTTTAAAAGCTGCATTTTTAAGCTATAAGCACTACACTATTTCAGTGTGTATTCTTTTGGAGGGTTTTTACTTTTTCTGGATATTAGGATAGAAAGTATTTTATCATTGACAAACTGTAACAATACTTGACATAAATCTGTCACCAAGACCTAATTAGCTTGATATTAAATCTTGAAACATACTTAAAACCAGATATATTACCCTTAACTTTCCTCTCGGATCATTAAACAATAGTCGTGCCATCTCACATCAGCTTCCCCGAGGATGTTTTTGCCGGGTTGCCATCAATCAAAAAAATCCATGCCATAAATCTGACAAGTGCCAAAGAAGAAGAACAGCACGTAGCCGTGTGGTTGCTTTGATCATGCTGCGTGTTTCTGTGTGCGATATCAGCTGCTTCACCTCAGGCCATGCGCAGGTGCATGTGTTCCTTCCCATCAGAGCAATCAAAAGGAAGTGAGGTCGTGATGTGTAGTCAGGTGGTGGGTGTACGTTTATATGTAGGATGAAAGTATGATATGTTACTGAAAGAAAAAAAACTAACAGCTTGGATTAGTGAACCAACAATTATTAAATGTTTTAGTTAATAAATTATGACTGTAATGTAACAGTGATTCATTGACTCAAGCCTTTATTCTGTTTGTTTTGTCTTTGTTTTTTCTTGTTTTTCTTTTTTCATTTTGTCTCGTGTTTTGTATTGTTTGTATTGTTTTTTTGTTTGTTTTTGTATTTTGGCTGTTCTATGTTTTCCATTCTACCCTCCTCAGTCAGTTTGTTTTGCTTTGTATTTTTTTGTTTGATGTGATTTTGTTGTTGTTGTTTGTTTGTTTGTTTTCTTTTGTTTTATCTTTTTTCTCTGTTTCTGTGTGCTTTGGTGTTTTGCTTCTTTGTTTTGTTTTGGCTGTTAATGTTTTCCATAATCTACCCTCCTCAGTCATTTTGTCTTGTTTATTAGTTTCACAACAATGGCAATACCTAATAATTATGAAGGTGGCTGACTCATCTCTTATCAAACATAACTCACCTGTGCTATAAAACACATCTTTATTTAGATAAGAGAATAATAATTTCCAGCACACACCAAAGCCCCATTATATTACTCTGATAAATTTAGATTACCATTTGCCTTTATAAAGGCATTAATAATTTATTAGCATTTGCATATTTATAAAGTAAAATCTCAGAGTACGTCCCGTTTTTCTGGAATTTAAAACTAGCAAACCTGGTCAATCTAACACCCATGCGGCCGCTCCCCTCCAGGCTCTATGGTGAACGGTTGGGGCTCAGCTTCAGAAGATGATGACAGAAACTTATCCAGCAGAAGGTCTAGTGCCGGCAGCTCCTCTGACGGCTCATTCTTCACCCAGTGCAGCTTTGCACGAGCCCTGGTGGCGGCCGCAGACAAGGCTGGTTACCGTCTGGATGGCACAAGTTTGAGCAAGAGAGGTCGGTTTGGGGGAAACAGGAATTCGAGTCTGGAAGACTGGTGTTTGCTAACTGCAATTTGGCTCACTCTTAACAGAATGAAGATGCATTTCTGCTTTCTGATTTTACGTTGGTGTACTCTTGGTGAAGCAGTGCGGTGCAAATACTAACATCTTTATGGATTTGCTTGGTGTTGCCGATGGCTGTTTTCACTTAGCAGGGTTTTGGTCTTGCGCTTTCAGTGAAGCGATTCGGTTTACACTTCAAGGGAATTAATTAACTGGAAACAGATCTGGCGCTGATGTCTTCAGTTTCTTTTATCATGCACTTCAAGTTTGACTTCATGCCTCTTTCTGACTCCATAATGATCTTCAATGAAACCATTTCTACAATCTTAAACCGTTTCTCCAACAGGCTTTGCAATAGAAATTAAATGTATTGATTGATTCTGTTGCTTCTGAATCAAACTAACAAGCTATACGCCCTCCTCCTGAGCATCCTGCCATGCTTCCCTTTCAAGATTCGTTTATCATCTCTGTAAGTAGCGTTTCGATAACATTGAGCTAACCAAAGTTCTTTGCTCCCTGCAGATAAAGGTCTACCTCATAGACCTCGTCCCGCTAGCCCATTCTCCACAGATGGAAGCACGGTGGGCACACACAGCCTGGGTCACCAGCGGGCAGCAAGGCCCACCCGCAAACACAAAGGCCCTGGCACTGCCCCGCACCGCCGTGATGCCAGCGCTGATGGTAAGGTTTAGTCCAGTTTTTACTTAACAGATAATTCCAAAGCCTGGTTTAGTTTAGATCAATTTAATCCATGAAGACTAAACCAAAAATACTGTATATATCAGTTAATGAATTATGTATGCAATGACACACAGATTAATTAATTTGGTTTAGACCACGTTTGAAGGCCAAAAAACATTACAGTAGATAGCAGATCTCTCTTGCATGTTTTATCGAATTAATGTGAAAGTCAGCATTGGTTAAAGGAGACAGTTGGGGTCATAAGCAAATGCATGTAGCAATAGCTAATATCCAAGCCATTATAATAATTTATCAAACAGAATTAAATCAATATTACCCTTTTGAGGGCATTTATGTAGACACAAAAGACACCTAATGTCAAATGATGATAAATGTACAATGTGCATAAATGGAAATGCCATACCTATTGTTTGAATTCAAGTGGTCCTTCCTGCTTCTTTCCCAGATCTGCCTCCACCACCAGAGCCTCCACCCTGCCAGACAGCTCGTGTCCAGGGGGCGAGGAACGTGCCCAACCCCTCTGACCACAAGGCTTGCTCCTTGGAGAGGCAACCCATGATGGGCCTAGAGGAGATGAAGAGTTCCTTGGACCGGCAGGCCCGAACCTCACTGGAGCGCCACCAACATGCCCAGGATAGACTGGGATCCATAGATAGAGGAGAAGAGAGCAGAAGAGGACAGAAAAATTGTCCTGTTTCAGGTAGGATGATGGACGGTTTACCTTAAACTCTGTTTACACATTGAGGTCTTAAAATGAGACATAAAGGAGAAACCACACTAGAATCAGTGTTAGATTTTGAATACTGGTTCCAAACAGGTGATACTAGTTAGGTAGTTACTTGTACACCAAGGAGTTCTTTTTCAACCAGCTTCCAAGAATCCAAACCAGCATAGCCAGGCTGTTCATCAGCTAGGCCACAGCTGTCCTGTCCTGCTCCTGGAGGGCCAAAGTCCTGCAGTGTTCAGCTCCAACCCTAAATAATACATCTAAACCAATCAAGAGGGATAGAAACTTCTTGTCAGGTATGTTGAAACTAAAGTCTGGAAGGTGGCCCTCAAGGTGCAGGACTGGACACCACTGAGTTAGGCCAACACCAAACTAGTGCTAAACAGCTTAATTTTAAACTTGGCCTTCAGCACCAAGACTTCCTTAGTCAACCACCTTGTCCAGAAAGACATTTTGGTCAACCAGCTTCCAAAATTTTAATGGTTCACCAACTAGACCAGCAAAAAACTAGGCCAACACCAAACTTGTGCTACCCAACTTAAGACTGGACTTGGTCTTCAGCACCAAGATGTCCTTAGTCAACACTCATTTCCAGAAAGACATTTTGGTCAATCAGCTTCCAAAGTAGACCAGCACCAAGCTATCTCTAATCAGCCTGGCCCAAGTCTTCAGCAGAAATTGCCTCTTGGGGTTTTGACTTCCTTTTAAATGACACAAAATATGAAATATGTTTTTATGAAAGACCTGAACCTGATCTTACATGTCCACATGAGTTGAATCAATCTAGCATAGTAAACACTCTTAATTCAGCAGAGCAGGTCTGTAAAATATTATCTTGCTATCGTGGTCATCAGAGGCAGATGTTTGACAGCACCAGCTGTGGACCCTTGGCGTTCATTTATGGTCCCTGCTGTAAGGAAGCCAAGCTGGGGCAAACAGATTGCCTTGTCTCCCCCTCTTACTGAGCTCTTCCATGGCTAACACCGGCCTTCTCCAGGAACCAGCAGACAGGAGGCACACTTAGCTGCACAGATGTACCCTAATCGTTCCAGCCCTCATTTTTCACTGTATACACACACACGCTGCAATGAAGCCGAGCTCCATCTGTGCCTGTCTGATCATTAGGATCCACCATTTTGGGTTTCCAGCCCAAACGAAGCATAAAGAACCAGGCCTGGATCTGGCTCGACACAAAGGGGGATGTGGGTTGGGCAACCTGTATGGTTTGGTCTCATATGTCTTAATTTTCATATTAAACTTTGGTGTGGAGATTCACTTAGCCATTGGAGCATATTACTAATGAGTAGGGTTTGGTCAAAGCTGCCAAGAGTTGGTCACCTCGGTATTAGTCAGAAACCAATCATGAACATGTTCCAAACTGAAAAAGCTAAAACAATTTTAATTGCCACTAAATGTATGGTTTGGATATTTGTATGATTTCAGAAGAGGCCATATTGCCATACAACAAACCATCATTCCCATCTCCTGGGGGCCACAGCTCATCTGGGACGGCCTCTTCTAAAGGGTCAACGGGTTCTCGTAAAGGTGAAGGGACGAGGGGACAGTACCAGGGCGAAAGCAGCTACATGGGGACCAACACGCAGTACTCTGGAGAGTTATGTGAGTCTGAACAGGTTATTCTGGTACAACTCTAAGTTTGGAACTTTGATGTTTTCTGGTCGTATTGCTGGTTTACCTTTTCTAGAGCTGTATAAAAAACTAACTGACTGGCATGTTCTCTTTCTATTGTTTACAGAGTGAGCCTTTTTGATGGAAACTGAAGAATGCCTTTATCTGTTCTGGAAATGCCTCACCTGCTTGGTGCAATGAACTCGTAAAGCTTTGGAAGGAAGAAGGAAAAAAAAAAGAAAAAAATATGAAAAGGACAAACTGTAAATGTGATGTAAAGATGGACATGCAACCCACAAGATCCGCAACATCCCTCACCTTCCTCCTTAAACTATTCATTCACAGAAAAAAAGAAAAATGTTGAGGACAAAATAAAAAAAACAATGGAAGGCCTGAGATCTGAGTCGCCCAGCTTTGGTGAACTTGTGAAAAGGAAATCAAGTTTCCTGTAAATATATTCTTGACATCGGAGATGGAAAATGACATTATTGTTATTGCATTGCTATGCAAGCCGAGTTCTGTTTCTGCGCTCTCCTCCCTCTTACGCTGTTGGTCGTTTGTACGATATGTGAATTGATGGGCTGTGGTGCCATATAAATTATGTTGTCATCCATCATTTGTTAATATTTCTCATGAATTAATTGTTGTCATTATTATAATTAATTATTTTCTTTTGCACTGCAATTTTGGTGATAAGCACAAAACCATAGCTCCTGCTGACATGAAGAATTGGAGAAAAGGAAATGTGAAGGGGAGTTTCTGTACTGTAACTAGAGATAAGAAAATATATAACCATGTACAGAGATATATTAAGATATGCCTGCATCTATGCCGGCAGTAAGACTTACAGTTCTGACGAAATGAGTTAAGAACTTTCGGCAGTGGGGTTTCTGCGAGAGGAACCAGATCCTCTCCGTGCTGGAAATAGTCACAGATGGGTTGGGAAACAGTTTGCAGGGAAATTTATCCTAAGTGGTTCTATTTTAAACACATCCAGCTGTCCCTACTAGGTAATATTACTCAGTCTAGTCCACTTGGTCCAACTGGAACATATTTAGGCTAGATATTTGAACTACATTGGACTACAGGTACCAACTTTGCCTCTTCCCTTGCTCACTTTTTGCCGCTTGCTTTTGTTTTGCATTTAGTATTTAATTTGATCCATCTGAGCATAGCAAAATTAATAGACACCAGCTTGGATAACGTTTGGAGGTGAATAGTTCACTTTGGGCTTTTTAATTTTTTGATCTTCGCTCAAAATTTGATTACAAGCACTTGAAAAGTGAGTCATTTAAAAGCCATATGAACAAGACTACAATGCCCCTGCCTTCCGCCTTACTCTAGAGGTCTTGTAGATGTCAGTTCCCGTGCTTGTCTTGAGATTCTGCGCATGTCTTAAATCACGAGTGGAGAATAAATTCAGGTAACTAATTTAAAGTTTTCGTTGAGCACTTAATGTATCTTTTTTTTATATTTCTGACAATGTCCCAAAGCCTTGTTTTCAAGTTCTACTTTACCTATGCAGGGCACTGAATCACTAGGATCCATAAATCCACATTCATTGGTATCTTGATTCAGATATTCGTCCTGTAATCACATGCGGAAGTCTCAAAATGACTATCGAGCTAAAGCCAATAACATTATGCATTTGACTTTGCAAAAATACGGCAATATCTCTCACATGATCGCTAAGGCATAGTGGTCGAATGATTTTTCCACGTCCTCGGTGTGTGCTGTAAAACGTCAGTCAGACCTCCAGAAAACATTTCCACTGTCTTTGGCCACTACATTACAATACGTTTATCGAACAGTCCAGTTGGTTCTTTTTGCTTGATGAAATTTTACATATATAAATATATTATAAAAACAAAATTGACAAAAGGCTGCTCAAAAAGGATATTTTTACTGTGGAAACTTCAGGAGTTACTGGTGAAATTACTGTTTTCTTTCGTTATTTCCATCTTCGTTTTTGTACAACGTTACTGAGGAGAGCCCTCCCAAACCGGGCCGACGTCCCATGTCTTTCTCTCGGAATTCACATTATTTCAATGCTAGTAGTGTCCAGCTGTTTGGAATAATGAGGTGCGAACGAGTATCTCAGGTGATTTTACATCTATATTGGTGGTGTTGATGTGGGTGTATATAAATGTATATATTCATATGCATCCTCACGTAAGAGAGTTCATTCCATGTTCGCTATTTTGAATCATTTATCCACCCCTTGTACCTGATGGATTGCTATGCTCTCTCTTCCTTTTTGGCCCTGTCGACAGTGGATTTCCATTATGTTCTCTTCCATCTGAAAACATGCCGGTACACTAAATGTCCATAAGACAAAGATGTCACTTACAGAACATACCAAAATTAATATTGATATTTCTAATGTCTAATGCATTTTAGTGTCTTTTTTAATACTTGTTTCTTTAAACATCACAGTGTTGTTGTTTTTTTTGTATTTATTAAGATAATAAAGGTATATTGTGAAAAATGCATCAAGGTCTGTGGTGTGTTTCTCCCATAGACTGTAAAAAAAAAACATGGACGTAGTTTCCGTGACGTCACTCGTAGGTTTCAAAAGAGCATTTTTGAAGCATAAAGTGGGCAGAGCCGACCGCCGCCATCTTGGCAGCGCGTCACCGTGCATCACTCCCGGATAATCGAAAATGGGCAAAAAGGCAGGACGTGGGTGAAGCTGAGGCGCTAGTTGCTGAAACCACGCCCGTCTATGGTGACGGCAGTGCTGCCATGCAAAGACAAAAAACCATAACTTCGTTTTTGGTCGAAATGAGAATTAGATCGCGATCTAACAAACTGCTCCATATAACAAAGCACTGTAAACAAGCAACGACTAGATAACTTGGCAACAATAAGTAATCGTAAAACATCTAATTGCCAGATTTCCAGTGTCCTACTCATAATTATTTTTTTCTGGACAAATAAAAATCTTTAAAGCCATTTTTTAAGTTTCACAGTCTTAAACTCTGGAGCAGAGCACAGTCCACCTGTCACTCAAGTGGCCATGCCCTTAATTATGCAGAACTTAAAGGCTTAATATAATTTAAACAGATGAGTTATAAAAAAAATCACCCCCCTCACAGTTGTCATGAAGGGCAAAATTACCTATATAGACCAAAATCACTTTTTGTACCAAGCTTTCAACATGTTTTTGTCTGCTGTAAAGTTGGGCATTTTAACATGGGGAGTCTATAGGACTGACTCCCTTTTGGAGCCAGCTTCTAGCGGTCAGTCGATGAATTGCAGTTTTAGTCACTTCTGTATTGGCTTCAAGCGAGTGACCGGGAGGTTGCCGCTTGGTTTCTCCTCGATTTCCTGCACATGCTGAGTTTTACACCAAGGTTTTGTTTTCACAGGCTGAATTCACGTTTCGAGAGGGTCCCCAGTTAAAAATCGCATTCGGGGGTAAAATACACGTTTCTTTTGGTGGGGTTTCTCTACTAAAATTCGCATTCCAGGGGATAAATATCATGTTATTGGAGTCTCTTCAACCCGCGGACATGGGTCAACAATGTTAAAGTAGCCCAATTCCGCAGGAAAACCGCAGACTTGGCAACACTGATGCTCAGATCATTATTTTGTCATTTGTACGCACAACCTCCTCCTGCTGCTTTCTCAACAGAAAGGCTACAAAAGGATGATAAATACCGAAACTGTGACAAAAGTCAGCAATCCTTTCCAGAGATGGGACACACACTGTTTTTTTAATGGCACATGCTCTTATTCTGCCCCTCTTTCAATCGACTCTAATGGCCTACATGTGTGTTTTTACAGAAATCTAGATTATGTACTATGAAAACACTGAGCTATTGAAGGAAATCTCTAGAATTTTCTTCTATATATTGTATACGGGGCCATGTAGAGGATGGACCGACAGACGGTCGGACACATATTGTCTGATGAACAATGTGTATGGGGGGAAAGAAGCTTTAATGACTTCATAATTCTTCTCTTTTTTGGCACATTTAGAGTACTTACCTAGAGTCGTTCAGACAGATAAATGTGTCTTTGAAGCACTTAGACCAGAGGTCTGATGATTGAGATTAAAAAATGACCCATCCGTCTGGCCAAATCCACAAAATTCTTTGTGTAACTCGTGCAAACCTGGCATTCAGGTGACTAGACTTATTGTGTAGGGTACAGGAACATGCTGTTTCCTGCATGGTGAAGATTTAATACAGATATCACGTCATTAAAGGAGGTTGGTAAAACCGATTCCATTTATTGGTAATATTAAATCCAAAAGTGCATTATCAAAGTTCTAAAAGTGAGTCATCATTTGCTCACCCTCACATAATTCCAAACCCATATGACTTGTTTTTCTTCTGTAGAACAAAAAAACATTAGTGTTCAGATCAATCACAATGACAAAAAATGGGTGTGATATTTTGTCAGCTGCATTTTCAGCCATTTTTTATATTTCAGAGTAATTCTATTTAAAAATAAAGGTTGCAAAAGGTTTCGCAACATTTTAGTTCCCCAAATAACCTTTCAGTGAAACAGAACTGTTTTAATCTTAGTCTGAAGAACATTTTAATAATCTAAAGAACCTTCTTCCACCATAAAGAACCTTTTGTGCAATGAAAAGGTTCCATTGATGTTAAAGGTTCTCTTTTAAAAAAAAATAACCTTTATTTATTTTTTCACTGATACTGCTTGGATTCAGATCGTCAGTGAAAAAGGAACCGAACCAAGAGAAAAAGAGACAGATTTGTGTAATACTGAGTTATTGTGTTTCTCTGAAAAATTATTTTGTTTCTGTTTATGCCATAACCCAGCTTGTGTTTTCATTTACTCTGACCCTTTGAGTAAACTGCAGACACACAAACTGCTGCGTCCTGTAAGCCTGCAAGGCTGAAAAATAATGACTAGCCCTTTTATTTCGCCAGCAAAGCAACTTTTCCTCTCTCTCCCAATTTCATGGCTTTTTCCTTCTCATTTTTCACCTGCTTCGCCTAAAAGTATTTCCCCCATTTATTTTAGGAAGTGATTGCCTTCTACAGTTGCAATATTAACACCCCGTCTGCACCGTTTTATCGCTGGTCCTTATAGCGATAAGATATGAGCTAATGCTTGACTATTGACTTTTAATTGTGTGTATGGAGCATTGATTTCATTGTGCCGGTGTTGCATTTGAACCCACGACTGCAGCAGATAAATGAAAGTGCGTGTTGCCATTTGTGGTTGTTGGAGATGTGCTGGTATGTGGGTTAATTAAAGGAAACATCCCTGCCTGCTGTTTTCCCCCTCTCTTTGTATTCTCTCTCACACACAGTAATGAGGAATGGAAGCAGAGAGGCTGGTGGTACCAGTACAGCACAATTCATCATTCATGTCATCCATACCAGATCCAGCTG